AAGATTTGTGACCCAGCTGGCCACAAGTGTAGCAAGTCAAACCTCCCTGATTACTTCTCCCCGAGCCTGCACTCGGCACCGGAAAGGTCGATCTAGCAACTCCACCCTGAGACTGCTGAGGGTTATAACCCCTCTGTCTCCTACCATCACCCTGACCCTCCTGGCCCCGCTTGGAGCCTCTATGCTTCTCCTCGTCTTCCTCCTGCATCATAAGCTCCATATGAGCTGCAGCATCCACTAAATGTCTATACTCTCGGATGTAAGACCCACCAACCCTCAACTTGAGGCCCTGCCTCAACTTCCGTTCAAACTCAAAGCAACGGCGTTCTTCGGATGCCACCAACTCAGGTGCAAACCTAGACAAACTAGTAAAAGTGGCCTCAAACTCTTCCACGGACATACCTTGCTGATTAAGCCGACTAAACTGATCCCTCAGCTTCTCCCTAGCAACTGCAGATAAGAACCTCTCCTGGAAAGCATTCACAAACGCCTCCCATGTACCACCAACACGAGCCTTCTCGTACTTCCACCATTGACCCGCATCTCCCTTCAGCTGGAAGGATGCCAAGGTCACTTTCAATGCTCCGTCCTCGATGCCAAGCATCTCGAACGTCTTACTCATTTGTTCTAACCACTCGTCAGCCTTCAGTGGTTCCTTCGGATCTCCAACAAACTCGTCCGGACTAGACCGGAAGAACTCCCTCTTCAAGAAAGAAGGCCCTGCCTCAGCTGCCTGATTCCCTGCTCTGAGAATACCCAAAGCTCCTGCTATCTCTCGGGCCAAGGCACTCATAGCCTGCTGACCCGCTGGCTCGGCCACATTGGCCTGACCAATACCCTCCTACATTGTCGGAACCTCCTCCGGTAACGGCATCCTGCCTACCACGCCTGCCACGCCTACCGCGTCCTCGTCCTGACATCCTAATAAAGGTAACCAAGACTATTAGCACATTCACAAATGTGCCGAAGCTATAACACTCGCGTCCTAATGCATGGACAACTGTAATTCACTCCACGTAAGCACAAAAACACAAAAGCACTTACGAATTTCATTTCCGGATAATGATAGTCCCGAGGCGTTACTAGAGTTCCGATTAGAAACAGCATTGATCAAGTGCCTTTCCAACAAGAGTCACAGAAACCCAAGGATCCAATCAATATCCTAGAAACCAAATCCCATACCCACATAGTCACATAAGCATGTTATCAATTTAAACACATAGCATATGACACTACACCTAAGTCTCTATCAAGCGAGACAAACCCATTGTGATACTAATCACTTCCCACGTACCCAAAGTATTCGAACCCGGTACGCTCTGATACCAAGTTGTAACGCCCTCAAAATAATAACATTAAACCCAGCAATATAGTCATGCATTGATGTATAAAAGCTCCACATTCCTCTATTCATCAGAGTTCCATTACCAAAAAGTATTACATGTTAACGACAAAAACAAATGCCCTAAAGGCTTACAGCTTTCTAAGTTAATACTTGGTTACAACAAAAGAGTGCTAACTCATTTACACATTAAGCCCTTGGCTTGAATATACATGTAATACATCAAAAAAATTAAACAACAAAAGTTTGCCCGCCTCTAACCTCCCAAGCTACGTCATTGGAGGTGGCATGCTACCTGTACCTGAAAATGATATTCCCATATAGGGCGAGCCACAGCCCAGTAGAAATCCACTAAACCAAATATGAACAATGACTAAAAGATTAGCAGTTGATAGATGGCCAACACTGATACTTTCCCTTATCACATTTTACAGTTTCATGACATACAAGTCCATATTACAATCCATTTTCCAATTCCTTTCAATTTTCAATTTATAACCATGGCTCAGAACCTGGCCAAACAACTCATATGAGACAGTAACTCATATTAAACACTTTCCCATTTCATAATAGATAAGCATACTAGCTATATCATCACTTCCATAGATATGCATAAGAGCACTATCACACTTCCAAAGACAAGCATATGAGCTATGTCAACACATTACTAGATAAGCATATGAGCTCTATCTATGGAGTCCATCCCCTATCTTCTCCCAACAACATCCGGTTTAGAGGTCCGTCCCCTATCTTCCCCTAAACCGTGGAGTACATCCCCTATCTCCTCCAACACGACACAATGCATATAAACAATAATTATACACATCATCACACAACACATAAATTTAATGTATTCTTTCAACCGTCATACTCAATGACACATTCCAGTGATTAGTTTCAGTTTGTCTAATCATCATGCATTGTCTACAACAATCAAGACTATCCTCCACCGATAGCCCAAAGCAGTTATTTCTATACAGAAAATAAATGCAACAATGGATATATATAATTAACATTTCAACCAGGTGAGTGATAAATAATCCAACTACACCCTTTAATTCCATACATTTCCAAATCAATTTCTCATTTCCTCATCATTAATTATGCATATTAATTAACCAATGTAATTAGGGCATATTCCATAATTAACATTACAACCCTTACGTTCCATTTTCATTAATGTTTTAACATTAATTCCACTTTTCTATGCCAAACATGCATCTAGGTTTTATATAGCTAAAACCCCAACTTTGGTAAATTTACACAAAAGCCCCAAACTTTCACAAAATTACCAAACCAACCTCAACATCTCAAAATACTAAAATTTAAAAACAAAGCCCATAGTGAGGAGTAGGTTATCCCTACCTCGAAAGATGACTCCCAACCAAGAAGGTGAAGAAAACGAAAATGCTCCAAACCACGAATTTCTTGGATCAAAAGATAGCCCTCGACGATCAACAACTCTTTTACAAAGGCCGAAGAGAAGGAGGGCACTCTAACTAGATTAAACCCTAGAGAGAAGGGAGTTTCTAGAGAGAGGGGCTCTCAAAAATGGGTTTTAGGAAAAGTAGGAGAGAGAAAGAAAAGCAAAAAGTGATTTAAAATCACCCAGCGAATAACTCATATACGCATGACCCGCTCGAGCGGAGAACACAACGCTCGAGCTCCAAAAACAAAAATCTGGACACGCTCGAGCGCAATAAGACCCGCTCGAGCGTCAAGACACAAGAATAAAGCACTTCCGCTCGAGCGCGAAAACCAGTCCGCTCGAGCGTAGATTTCCCCCTCCCAGAACTTATACCCAGGAAGTACTACCCGCTCGAGCGCCAACAAACCCGCTCGAGCGCTACCGCTCGAGCGTAAACAAACCCACTCGAGCGTAAAAATCGCATCTGCAAAAGTTTTGCAGGAACACGAAATACTGGAGGTGTGCAATACCCGCTCGAGCGCAAGAAGACCCGCTCGAGCGGACCGTCCAAAAACTGGGCAACAAGGAATTGAAACCAAGGCCTAACCAACCTGTAACAACCTCGCCCAAAACATCCTAAAACTCAATCAAGTGGAATTAAAGGACGACAACAAGATAGATACAACTATCAACTTTACGGAACCGAATCCAGAATACAACAGAACAGTAAAGGGACAACCGGGATCGCTATATGTCATGCAATGATCAACAATTGGGATCGATACTTCCCAAGTAACAAAACCGAAATGGAAACAAGGGAAACAGTTCTGTGTATATTTTTCGCTTCTAATGTCACAACGCGGTAACTGGTAACAATTGTGCGGTTGAGAGGCACCCATGACAGACCAATGAGATATATCCTATCATATTATACATACAAACAATCACCAAAAAGAGAGAGAGAGAGAGAGACAACGAATCTCAGTAGTTTCTCAAGTCTAAAATATTTTCTTCTCCACACACCATTTGCAATTTATTCCAAACAGGACAATGAAATCAATCAATCAATCACAATTCATAGATGAAGCATATAGTTTGAGAAGAAACGGTAGAGTGGGTGGTCTAGGCAGGCAGGCAGGCAGACACAGACTTAGATTCTTGCTCCAAACAAGGTCATCAAGAAGTCCTTGTAATATCCTGAAGTGTCACCAATAACTGCATCATTGAGGTTAGTTTTGTTCATGCTGAAATACTCTCTGATTTTCATCATCTCAATTTCAGCTCAAGTTAGCTCTTGTTAGCGAATCTTCATCAGTTCCGAGCCCAAGAATTGAAGCTCTAATACCTGGTGATGTTTCGAGCAACCAAGAATGGAAATTTAAAATATTTCCAAACAAGGGTCACATTCAGATATTTCAAAGAAAAACTGAAATGATACTAAGAAAAATGAAAATAAAAAAACAGCTACCCGAAAAATGATAGCAGAAAATGATTCCAAGGATGGCAATAATTGCATGCAAAGTCAGTATTCCATCTTATATTTTTTTGATACATCCATCACAGTAACCTTCCTGTATAAAAACAAAATGGCAGGAAATGAAAATCATCTTGGATGGATGGATGGAAGTGTCTTTGTAAATCATAATAGGGCAAACAAACATTTAAACAAACTGAAGGGCAGCCTGTCTAAACTACCAATGACTTCATTAAAATTCAAGTATTGTGTTGGTTGTTTTCTGTATAACCATCATGTTTTTACATGCATTGGATAAGACCAGTAATACATTTGTTCAAATAAACAAACTAGGTTCTGCTTTTTCCAATATCTGCTGGAATGTGCAGCTATATTTCACAATATTTCGATGTCAGTTGTGTTACATGTTTTGGTATAACTGTATGATTGTGTTATATGACGAACATTACTATCTGAACTGCCTTGATAACATTAGGCGGACCATGTTATCCTTTTATGGAAGCCGAGGCTGGCGAATTGACCATAGGAGATGTGGAGAAATTGCTGAACTTGTACAAGCATGTGGTGAAAAAGTACACAAGCTTTTGCAGTGCTGCCAGACACTTGAACCAACCCATGGAACAAACAAAGCAAGATAATAAAATGGGAAGATTGAAGAGCAACAACAAATTTGTAAGTATTATATAGAATTGTAGTTTGCATTAATTCCTGTTATATCTAACTGCTTAATTGGGTTTGAAAGGAAATGTTGCCATTTGTGCTCTGCGCTAATTATCTTTCCAAAATTTTGTTGTTTAATAATAAATTAAGGGCACAAAATATGTGCTGGATCACATTAATTTTGGTGGCAAGAGAGAAGGGAGATTTGTTGATACAAATAGCAATTCTCTTGAAATACACCCACCCTTGGAACGGTTAGACGTAAACAAGATTTACATTTACAAGAAATACTACATTAAGGGAACACCAAAAGTTATAGTCAAGTTAGACCCAAGCTTGGAGCTATTAGTTGTTGCTGCTTCATTTCTGCATGTCCTGCTGTACAACATGCATATTTTAGCAGCTTCATCGAACTGAGCATCCTTAGATGCCTCTCTATAGGAGTTTAAACATCTCATGCAGACGAACTTAGCTGGGATTGCATCGTAGTAGTCAATTCCAGCACACCTAGTGTGCTGCCAGATGCCACACGTATCACAAGCCAACATCCGCTCTCCATCATCATCCTTAGCCCCGCATCTACAATCTACCGTCCAGTTCTCCGTTCCCCTCTCCATTCGGAAACGACTAAGCCCATGTGTTCCAAGGCATTTGCCTCTAACTCGTATTGACCCCATTGATCCAACCAGAAGTTTCAGTGTCATGGAATCATCTAAAGGACCATAATCAAGCCTGTTTTAGTATAAGAAAAAAAAAAAAAAGAGTTAGCGACATCACAGGCAGAAACGTGCAACAATAAAATCGTACAGGAAAAAGAATGATGTGTGCCTTGCCTTGCCTTACCTAAACTCAACAGCTGAAGAAGTTGGATTGTATCGGGAGTTAACCACCATACCATTGGGTGCCATCTTTCCGGCCAAGTGTTTGAGGCAGTAATTAAGGAGCTCTGGTGAGGTCACCTTGCACAGAGCACCCTTGAGAGCACGCCGTGAGACCCAGCTGGGGGTGTCACTTGCTGCCGCAGCTGCTAGCAGCACTTTGATCATTGCTTGTTCTACAGATTCCACATCATTCATTGTCCAAGCACACAGAAAGTTTGTTGTAGTTGTAGTGTACTTAGGCTTTTTACGTGTTTCATTCTTTGTTGTTGTTGACCTATGACTTTCATGGATCAGCTTTAAGATGAATGAGAAGAGGTCCCTTAACGATACAAATGGAGAATCTTCTTCTGATATGGACTGGTAGAATGTAATTAGTGCCTGCAATTGAGTTGGGGATGTACGGTGACGACCCTGGAAGTAGAACAAGGATATGGGTGTGTTTGAAAGAGTTTGAACCGCTTTTCGGTAGGCATCTAACGTGAGAGCGTAGCTCCCAGCACCAAACTCATATCCCCAGTTGCTGTACCAAGAATGGCTATTGGTAATTGCATGCAAAAGTCGGTATTCCATGCCATATTTTTTTGATACATCCATCACACTAACCTTTCTGTTTTTGAAATATGGCAGGAAATGAGAATCATCTTGGATGGATGGATGCAAGTCTCTATGTAAATCATAATAGGGAAAACAAACATATAAACAAACTGAAGGGCAGCCTGTCATTCTCACTCATTGTTTATTTTTCTGTATTTCTTGGTTCCAAATGATTATATCAGGCCATTGTCCAGTTGTTAAGTTACAATGGGGTTATTTGGTGTAGCTTATAGAGCTATTTATAATTTTGTTTATTTTAAAATTGAGTCATTTTTTTAGTGCAATTTTTATTTGCTATTTATAAAGAATGAGTGAGTTAAATAGGTTGAAAAAAACCTAAATATTGAAAAGAAAGAGAATTTTTTAGTTTTTGCTTTCTAATTATTAACTTTCAACTTGTTTGGAATTACACTAAACAGTTTCTATATTACTTCTAGATATTTTGTATTTAAATATGTATTTGATATCAAATGACACAATTATCCTCTATTTTTCCCAATGAATTTATTTAATTACCATAACATTGTGTATTATTCAATACATGAAATACAAGTGTAAAATATATAGATAATGTTTGAACAGAAAAATAACATAAATTAAAATAAGCTTTTTAATCTAAAAATTAATGACATCATTATTTTTTTATCCTTTTGATTTAAGGGTATAGACCAAAAAGTTAGAATATAAATTTTAAAAGAACATAATACAATTATACTAAAATTGTGAAATAATTATATTATATGCTGTCATAAAAACTAAGATTAATTAGACTTTACTACATGAATAATCAATAGATATCACTTTACTCCCCTTCAATTAAAAAATGTTACATTGTACTCCCTTAAAGGCATGGGAAGCATCAATTTCTCTCTATCACTAGATTCCAGATATCAATAATATATATATATATATATTCGTGGTAAGTGGCCAATGGAAAAGCTAGATTTTTGTTGAATCCCACAAGCGCATTGTTGAATAATTTCTCAACCAAGAAAGAAAAGTAGCTTTGATATAACCTTTTATACTACAATGGAATAAACATATTTGTACTTTCCATCTTGACTTCTTTGCTGAGCTATTTGCTTCATAATACTAATTTTGAGTCTATAAGCCAACATCGAAATGAAGATTGCCAAAATAAATAAATAAATAATGTTCAATGAAATATTTTGATGGGAGGCTCAAGTCTATGCGCAAAATGAGTGAGGAAGTTGAGGTGGTCGAACTTGAGACTCAGGAATTGCAGGGGTGGCGAATTGATACCGACAGAGCAATAGTTGAAAGGTGTAAAATGTAATTAAAAACTTTTTGTTATCACCAAGCAAGTGTCCAGTTACATCCTGAAGCCCTTCCAAATAAGGTCTCTCATAAACAAAACTAAAAATTCCAAGACAGCTCTTTATTAAGCCTGCAGTTCATTTATACAACCCAAAAGGGTTTCAACCACAAATTTCACAAACTCTGTGCATGGGATTGCTACTCAGCCTACCAGAAGAGGGGAGGTTGCAGGGGAAAGGAAGGAACCACCCAAAACCAAATAATAATAAGAGTAACTACAAATACAATGATGATTAATGTTCAAAATAGAAACTATTTTTAAGTGATAAAAATTAAATAAATAAATAAATAAAACATGAACAAAAGTCCAAACCTAACCTGACTGCGAGGGTTTTACACAATTTGTCCCAGAAGTCAATGATATCACGTCCTGAAAGAATGGTCGAGCCGCCTTCTCTTCCATTGAGAGTAAGGAGGTGGCCAAAGCCATTTGAGTGAACCACACCATGCAAGAGATGACTTGTATCCTCAAGTTGAAGGTACACCTGGTCCTCCTCCACAAGATCATCATCATCTTCATCGGCCGGTATCAAATAGTTGCATGACTTACACCTATTCCTATAAACATGTAAACAAGGATTAGTAAGTAAAAGAATTCTAGTTACAATTTTATTTTCTTACAATGTCATAAAATATTAGTTCTACATTAATAATACATCAAGTTAAAGATATACTAGATCACATTATACGATACAATACAATACATTCTTTCAACAAAAAGAAAAGCAAAAGCTTTAATTTAATACACACCAATGATAGAAGAACGTTATTTGGGGAAAATTCTTTTTTGTACCTTGAATCCAACGGATGCAGCAGATTGCCACACATTGTGCAAGCCTTGTGATGTCCCCTGCTTCCTACCCCTTTTTCTTCTTCTAATTGTTGTTGTACTGGTTGGCCATTGCTATTGCTATTGCCATTGCCATTACTCCTCCGAATAATGAAATGATATCGTTTTCGGCACACCGGATGTCCACTCCAACCTTCACCACCAAATCCAACCCACCCACCTCATGTTATTTTCTAGTTTTAGTTCTTAATCTTAATTCAAGGTGAATTGAACAAATAAATGTTCAAAATTGTTTAATTTTAGTTATTGCATTTTTACGTTTTACAGGCTCTCTAACTAGGTAAATTAAAAAAATAAAGTGTTTTTTTTTTTTTTTTTTTTTTTTTTTTTTTCATACTCATTTGGATTGGATGATTCGGAGAGAAAAGATAAAGAAATCAATCTTTCTTAATCCCAATCACTTATATTAATTACTAAATAGGAGAGAAATAAACTCATTTTTTTAAATCTCTTCAAAATTAGAGAGATTAAGAGAAGAAATAGAAAAATTACTAAATTTTTATATTACTAAAATTGTCCATTTATTTACAAAGAAGTAAAATAACATGTAAGAATTGTTTTCTTTTCTTTTATGTAATTTATCCAAACAAAATTTACTTTTTCCCCTTTTTTAAATATATATATATATATATTTATTTATTTTTCTTTTCCAACAAACCAAACAGAGTTTACAGGGAGGAGGAAGAAATTCGGATTTTTAAAACTGATTTTTTGAATAATTGAGATTTAATTGTACAAAATTTAAAGGGGGTGTTTGTTTTGGAAGGATTGGGCATGAGATTTTGTTGTTTGTTTCAAAAGTTTTACTCCGGATCAAGGTTCTGAAAAGCGGTTGCGGTTGCCGCAACGGTGGCGGTGACGCGGTTGCGGTTGCGGGGTGTAAAGGCCGTAGTGTAACAGTTGCGGTAACCAAAACCGTGAATTTTTTTATTTTTCGCACAATTTGAAAAAACTTACCGATATGCATATTTTTTTCCATGATTATATTTATTGGGTTAAAAATAAATATTGATCAATTTTTATAAATTTTTAAGTATGATCCAATATATTTCATATTTTCAAATCACTATAAATTGAGTTTTTTACATTTTATTTTAATAATTAATGGCTTTATATTATACAAAAACTCAGTCACTTACTATTATATATAAGATAAACAATGACAAAAATAAGAGAATAAATAAGAGCCTAAATATATGTATATATATATATATATACATATTTTAATCAAGCCAAATAGATAATGACCACACTTATTAGTATTATTATTTTCAAACAATATATAGATAGACACACACAAACAAAATGGTTTAGTGATCGTTAGGGGACGGGGATGGGAACGGTGATAGGATCCCCGTCGGGGATCGGGGCCGGGGACGGGGAGACATTCTCAATCGGGGATCGGGGACGGGGAGGGTAATCCCCGGCCCCGCCCCGCCCCGTTGCCATTCCTATTCATCTTCTCTCTTCTCTCTCTCTATATCTTGCTCCTCCATTTTCTCTCTTTATCTTTCCTCTTCTCTCAGTACCTCTTCCTCCATTTTCAACTTTTTTTTTTGTGTTTTTTCGAAAGAAACTGTTTGAAACCGTTACGTAACGCTGTGTATCAGGCCGTTACGGCGCCGTTACGGCACCGTTACGACCGCTAAGGCAGCCGTTACAGTCGACACACCTGTGAATCTCAATCACACTGCAAAAGTGGCCGTAACGGGTGACGGTAATCGCCAAAACCGTTACGTAACGGCGTTACGTAACGGTTGCGGTCGCTTTTTAAAACCTTGCTCCGGATTAATAATCCCTCCGAATTATTAGTCTCATATTTGTGGGACTATGATATTCCATGAAGGGTGAGATAGAAACCATAGAATAACTCATCTTGTAGAATTAATTAATAAAATTATATTTTTGCCCTCTGGTATTTAATTGGGGTATTTTTTTTAAGGTCCTTGATATTATGATTTTATAGTATAAAGGACATCAACTATTTTCATGATGTCTAAGGTCCCTCAACATCAATCCAGAGAAATTTCAGTCCCAGAGAAAATTCGATCCAGAGAAAATTCAACCCAGAGAAAATTCAATCCAGAGAAATTCTCTGGTCCAAACCAGAGAAAATTCAATTCTGTCTAAAATTTACCTCTCATTCTAGCTAAAATGAGGTGTACAGTTCTAGAAACTAAAGAACGAGAAAATGAAAAACATGAGTTGCAGAGATAAATCTCTCAACAGCAACGGTATACGGACACAGCTCGTTGCCTTGAAGGTGGCATGCACATAATCACCATGATGAGTATGAGAACAATCAGCATAAGAGTTGACTTGATATCTGGAGCTTCGTCTTCACCTTCTGCCATGATCAACACTTCTTGCTCAAGCTTTCTTCTTCTTTAGTTTGTTTCTCTGTAAACTATCAGTTTGATGCTTTTGCTTGTTCTTGTACTCTGCCCAAAATAAAATGTAAAGTTGTGGTTAACAACCAAGTTGACTTAGATGATATAAATAAATATATTTTTTATAAAAGAACATAAAATATGAATTAAATTTAAAATAATATAATAAAAAATAATATAATTTAAATAAAATAATGACTTTTTAATTTTTAATTATACCAAACTACCAAAATCACTCTATCCAAGAGTTTCGACTCACCAACGACTCGACATTGGTCGCAGTAGACGGATCTGGATGTGGATCTGGTGACGTCCTCCTCCACGATGTCGAGGGCAATGACGGCGGGATCTCCATCGCCGACGACCAGATCCCCGATGCGGAAGAGGATCTGCCACTTCATCAGGCATGGGAAGAGGGAGGGAGTGAAGGTGGGGCGGGCGTGCCTTTCCAGGAAACACCGGACGCTCGACCTGAACGGAGCCACACCAACGGCGTCACAGGCTGCCCGAAAATCAAACAAGTCAGGGAGGTCAGCGGTGACTCTTCTTCTACAATTAACACTACTCCTCATCCTCTTCAACCTCCCATTATTTACAACCATCACTACCTTCCTTATTATTACTAATACTTTGAGCTTCAATAAATAACTAACAAACAAACAAACAAACAAACAAAAAATTGTACTATGAATTTGAGTTTTTGCTGGTTCCTATGTTTTTTGTAATAATATGTGAAAAGGAAAAGGAAGAGAGATTTGATTAGAAACGAAAGAAGCAGGGTTAGGTTGGTTGTTATATATATAGGACTCGGACTAGAATCGAACAGCAGTTTCGCTTTCCCTTTTAGTTTTGGGTTCGGACTTTTGGCGGTTCGTCAAAGGCGGTTTCAAAATTTTCGTTTAGAAAAGGAAGCTGTATGTGGGTGAGTCGGTTTGTATTATGAATGAAAAATTAAGCGGCAGGGTGGGGCCACCAAAATAATTCACCCTACTAACCTTTTGAATTGCGCCCACCCACGCGTCCCTATCACATTAAATTATTTATTTATTCTTTATTAAAAAATTTCAAATTTTAAACTCGTCCACTTAATTCAATTTTCGTTAGAAATGAGTTTTTTTAATTTAACTTTTTGATTATTTAGTTATTTTAATTTTGTTAAAAAAAGTTGTCTTTAAAATGATTTGATAATTATGAGAGAAAAAAATAAAATAATTATAATTTTAATGTGACATTTTATCTTATTAACTAAGAATACGCTTCGTACAATGAAATAAACTAGAATGAAATGTGTAAACACACATTTCGTATCTTGCAATTAAAACACGGAATAAATGCACAAATAATTAATTTTATTTGACTATAATAAATTGGTACAATCCTTTATAGTTTGCTCTATTATAAAAGAGTAGATCCTTTGATTCTATCTCTGACATGGGCGTAATTCAATGGTTATAAAAGTTTGTTGTTGAACTAAACAAGTTAATGAATTTCTTCAAGTCTTCAAATGAAGAAACTTGAAGAAGAAAGGCTTGATTGAGAACTTGAACGGCCTGATTTCAAACGAATCTTGAAATGATTTCTTTGAAAGTAGAGACCAAATTTGTATTTATAACTTGAAAGAATTTGTACAATAGTTTGGAGTGCTTGATAATCCTTTCTTTTAAGTTTAAAGAACTTTAGAGAGAATTTTAAGAAGAGAATTTGACAGAGTCTCGAGATTGCTTAGGAGCTTGCAAGACCATTAGCTAAAAAAACATGTATCCTCTTCCCAATAATAAGAGCCTATATTTATAGACTTAGGAGGGAAGGGTTAATTTTAGAAACTCCAAAATTGACTCTAATTTTTAAGAAAAATAGCAATTTATTAATTACTTTATGGAAATGATTTGCATTGAACTTTGAATTTAAATTTGAATTATTCCACTAATTTTTTGACAAAATATCTTCGTGGGCCCCACACGTTTGGGTTGGCCCAGTTGTCAAAATAAGTTTAATTTGTTTTGATGTGACCCATAATTTAAAATGGGTTAAGATCCATAATTTTAATAGGACCCATATCTATTTGAAAATTTTGACCATTTTAATTTTGGCTAATCAAGAAAATTTCATTTGTCTTAATTAATCAGACAATGATCAAGACACGTAAAAATTTAAGTGTCTACAAATTGTCCTCATTTCAAACTCTAGTTTGCTGCTTGCTTGCTAATATCAACGGTGAGGTTTGAAGTAGATTGGTCATGCTTTGAGGTTTTATTATTATTTTTTATTTTTTTATATTTTTTTTGGCGGCGGCACTAAGTAGCTTTTTTTTTTTTTTTTTTTTTCTCTTATGGAAATAATATTAGGAAGGATGCTAGGGTTTGTGCATCCTATATGCATAATTGCTCCCCATTTAATTGTATATATGGATGATAAGAGATTGCATTCTTCATGTTGCCGCTTGACTTTGTACTCATTGATAAAATCAAAGTTTAGCACCTCATCACATACAAGCACAACAAGAGAGTGTGGAGTCAATCACACTGACAAGGTAAAATTTTTTATTATTATTATTATTATTTTAATATAAGTGTGTATTTATGTACAAAAACTCAAGATTCCAAGCATCATAATTATCTTTGTTTGATAGGTGTGCATGATGTCACCATAAATATCGCATGCTTTGAATAATCCTTGACCTTTTGTCTTCTTGTTTGCACAAACATGTGCATCACCACACCTATGCACCATACCTATGACTTGATGGCCCATATATATGTGTAGTTCAACCATTTGCATCAGTGCATTGGATGGCCATTTTTTTTTTCTTTTTTTTGGAATCTTCTTTGCAAATTGCATTTTATTTTTGCCCATAAGAATAATGATTTTGTAAGAATAATCAAGTAATATATCCCACTACCCTTTCGTCGTAACTAGATATTTTGACTTATGTGGGGGATGCACCTATCGAGCTAGCTACTTGGATATTGGGCTAGTGAAGTAGACACTTCCACCACTATCCATTCAATCATAGGTGATTAGTTTGACTTATATAGGGGAATGCGTCTATCAAACTAGCCGCTTGGATATTGGGCTAATGAAGTAAACACTTCCACCACCACCCATTCGATAATAGGTGATTAGTTTGACTTATGTGGGGGAATGCGTCTATTGAACTAGTTCGCTTGGATATTAGGCTAATGAAGTAGACGCTTCCACCACCACCCATTTGACCATAGGTGATTAGTTTGACTCATGTGGGGGAATGCGCCCATTGAGCTAGCCACCTATACATTGGGCTAGTGAAGTAGATACTTCCACCACCACTCATTCGACCATAGGTGATTAGTTTGACTCGTGGGAAATGCGCCTATCGAGCTAGTCGCCTGTACATTGGGCTAGTGAAGTAGGCACTTCCACCACCACCCATTCGACCATAGGTTATTAGTTTGACTTTTGTGGAGGAATGAGCCTATCGAGCTAGCCGCCTGGATATTTGGGCTAGTAAAGTAGATACTTCCACCATCACCTATTCGACCGTAGGTGTTTAGTTTGAATGCAATTTATTTATTTATTTATTTTATAATCGTTTGGCTTTGTCACTCAGTGATAGTGTACTTCAAGACTTTCAAGAAGGGATACTTGACTTATCTCGAGGACTCTACTGACGCTATTGAGAGGGGGGGGGAGAACTACTCTTCCAATTCGCCCTCTTTTCCTTGGTGCTTGGGTCTTAAAGTTCAAGCCGCTTGATGGTTCTTTTCATTTGGCGCAATGGGTGAAGGCCTGTCACACTCTAGGGTTTTATTATTAAAGTCATCTAACCATGAAGAAATTGAGGATCTCAGCTCATTTCCCATCCTTGGGAGTGCAGTTCAAGCTCAAAAGGTGGCATGGGGCACTATTTTCAAGGCCATAGCAAAGCCTTCTTTTTGTGAAGGATATTAGGAGTGGTTGGAGGATATATTGGGATAACATCGTGAGGTACTATAGCAGGCGGGCATTTATGATGTAATTTATGCCTCATTGTTCTCATATGACCGACTACATAATGTTATGCGGGCCTTTTGTGAGCTTTAGTGTCCGTCCACTAATACCCTTCACACTTTCATAGGTGAAATGTTTATCTCACTATGGGATTTGCGTAAGCTTGGTGGACTTTCTATTAGGGATGCAATATACAATGAAGTGGTGCCAAATGCCCAAGAGTTGGTCGGCAATATGAGGGACAATGCGGATATTTATTCCTAGTTTACCATCGGCTTTGTAAAGAGTCGAAGAAGAATGTGGTGAGGATTACTAGCTAGATAAAATTTTGGTTTAAAGGGGAAGCAAGTACCATAAATCAACCAAGAGGGCTTCAAGGAACAAGACTCAATGCCCTAAGGATACTAGCAACCCTTCTGGTATTATCAACATAACTTAGTCTCGAACTGTGCAAGGAGACCAAGTCTTCAGTGACTTGGGGATTGTTGGTGCGACAAAGGGTGAAACTTTTCTGTTAGCTTTCCTTGTTTGTTGGTTGTGCAAATTTGTTCTACCCCATGGGGATGCTGACTTGATTAAACCTGGGGTGTTTAAGGTTGCTAGTATGATGGCTCGTGGTCTTTCATTTAGCCTTGCCATTCCTGTACTTGCTAGCATCTACAAAGGGCTGAATAGAATTGCTTCTTCTTCTGATCCTGGATAGTGGGACGCCATCTTCCGTATCCATTATGTTTATGCTTGGTTAGCAGAAGATTGCAACACACACTTTAGTATTGATTCTGCTCTGAAGCCTCGAATGATAAGATATGCTGGTGAAAGGATGGCCAAACATTTTGAGGAGTCAGAGGCCTATGACTTATTTTGAGCTTGCAAGGATATGACCTTGCACCGCTTGGCATATAACGAGAGCAATCGCAAGCAATTGGTTGATGACAGTCATCCTTCTAACCCAGATTTAGAGTATTTCATTAGCATCCTCTTGAGCTATATTTGACTTTGCAAAGTTTATCCACTATGGTCATTAAGCCATACAGTCTTCACGGGTTTAGTAGGCAATTTGGTTTTATTCAAGCCATCCCGGGTAAACTTAAGGTTAATCATCGGGATGGTAGTTTACAGAACATTGTTCAACATTGGGATTCTTGTGTTCGTGATGGTACCAATTTTGTATTAAGGTTACTAGCGCATTTTGACTTCCCATCTCGTTCCACTACCAAGGCTTATTTGGAATGGTGGTCCTAACTTTATGCAAGTTATTTCCCCAACAAAGAAAATTCTATCCCAAGAAGCAAACACTCGGCTTCACCAAATCAAAAGATGGTTAAAGCGAAGAAAAATGCAATTGCTAAGCAAAATTATAATCTTAAGACCAACGAAATGGTTCAAGGAAGTGTTGATGAGACTCTTGGTGGAGTAGCAGATAAGGACCATAGTAACGGTGATTGTAATTGGCATCACTTAGGGAGAAAATCTGATACTGGCCCCATTGGAAGGAACACCACTACTTTTAATGACGTAGAGTCATTTTTTATTGGCGTTCCTAGCACTTCTCAACCATGGGCTACTAGTGTTGTACCGATAATGACAAAATCTATTATTTGTCATTTCAATTTATTGTGCCTTCTTTTACTCCTTTTTTTTTTTAATTTTAATTTTTTTTATGACTCTTCTTTAATTTGTTTTGACAGTTGCCAAATGATGACTTTGATTTAGCGTTTGGCAATGAGGATATGAGACTTGATGAGTTCTCAGATAATGAAGAATCAGTTCATGGACCGTCAGCCTTTGATTTAGTGATTGGTCATAAGAGTTGTCTCTCAGTTGACCCAACTCCTATTATCCATGTTCCTTCCTTGCCTGTTGCTCCTATATCGAGTCAAGTTGCACCTTCTACGGCTTCTACCATTGACACAAGAAGCATGATCCTTAATGCTTGCCGCTTAGCAGCTTCAATACTTGATAACCATATTAAAGGCTTATTGAGCAAAACTCCTATTCAAAAAGTTCCAGCATTAGGCCCAAAGCTCCAAGAGCTTTATGATGAGCTCTCAAAGCTTCAGATAGACTATTTTCTGTTGCAAAGCCAGGTTGAGAAGTACGTACAAAATGCTATTACGTATATCTCTATGAAATTAGTGTTTGCTCAAGGGATGACTTTAGAGCTATAGGATTAGCATTTGGCGGATGTCAGTCAACGTGTTACTTATGCTCTAGCTCTTGAGAATGAAGGAATTGAGCAGGTTCACTTGTTGAAGTCTGATTTGGGTAGCCTTGCAGCAAAGAAGGCATAATTGTTAAAGGCATTGGAACATTTAGATGAACAATCACAACAACTAGAGACTACAATTAGTGTTGCTGAAGCTGAAGTAGTTCAAAGGTAAGCCATTGTTTCCACTTTAAGGGAAGAACAAGTTACAATAGAAGCAACTGAGGTGATAAGAAACGAGGATATCGAAGTTGCCAACAAGTTAGAGCAGCTCTTGAAAGTTGAACAAGGCAAGACCCAGAGTTTATCATGGTTGGCATGATTTATTTTATTTTACTTTTTTAGCAAAATGTAGCTCGAAATCAAATACTTCATTATAAAATAATTGCTTTAGCAAACAATTTATTTATGAAATAAATATTATAGTTCGAAGCAAAATTCTCTCACTGTAAAACACATTTGGTTTATTGATTTATTAGTCGTTCATAGTTTATACTCATGCAGGCCAAGAGTAGCACAACAAATTTCTTTTTTTTAATAACTTTATTTCATATGGGCCGAGAGCATTATGCAGTTTATGCTCATGCGATTAGAAGCGTTACATTCTCATGGACAGTAGCGCTTTAGCGCTTTAGGAACTTGCCATTGATTAAGCCAACTCTTATACCTTTTTCATCAACAATCTTGTATGCTCTGTTAGTGTAGACTTCAGTCACCACGTATAGACCATCCCACTTGGACAATAACTTGTTTCCGGTTTGGTGGGTAATGATGATAGGTCTTTGAACAGCCAACACCAATTCTCCAACTTGAAAAGACCGAGGTCTAACCTTCTTATTGAAAGCTCTGGATAGTTAAGCTTGGTAACACTCAAGTTTTTGTTGTGCTTCCAATCTCTTCTCATCCAATGCTTCTAACTTAGCAAGGTGTAATTTTGCATTTTCATTATCAGTGAGACCTTCTTGTATAGTTATCCTTAATGAATGAATCTATTGTTCCAAAGGCAGAACCGCTTCAACACCATACACAAGAAAGTATGGGGTGGCTTGTGTTGGGGTACAATGTGTCGTATGGTATGCCCAAAGTGCTTCTCCAATTCTTTTATGCCAATCTCGCTTTGATTTAGCAACTATCTTTTTCAATAGGTTGCCCAAAGTTTTATTAAATGCCTCTACCAGTCCGTTGGCAAGTGCATTGTACATTGAAGAATTACGTTGCTTAAATCCAAACCTTTCACAAAGTTTGTCTATTAGACTGCTGTAGAAAGGCTTTCCGTTATCGGTGATGATGTAGCGATGTATAACATACTGATAAATAATGTGGGATTTGATGAAGTCAACAATAGTTTCTTTCTTGACTTCTTTAAGTGGGACGACTTCAGCCCACTTGAAGAAGTAATCTGTGGTGGCCAAGATGTATAAGTGGCCTGTAGAAGACTTGGCCAATGGGCCAACTACATCTAGACCCCATGCATCAAATGGCCAAGAAGCAATTGTCAGGTGTAAAGGTTTTGGTGGTTAATGGATAAAGTTTGCATGAAACTGGCAAGGTTGACACTTTCTTGAGTAGTCCAAGAAATCTTTAACCATCGTAGGCCAATAGTAACCCATCCTTTTTACTCAAAAGTGAAGTTTAGGACCAAAGTGATGTGTTCCACATATCCCGGAATGGGCTTCTTCCATGGCTTGTTGAGCTTCATCATCCCCTAGGCAACGAAGAAAAATTCCTTTAAATGATCGTCAGAATAAAGTTCCCTTGTAGTAGATAAATTGAGGAGCTCGACGTCTTATTTCAGTTCTATGGGGAGAATCATCAGGGGGCTTCCCATGTTCAAGGTAGTTTATAACTGGCATTCTCTAATCGTCGACTTCGATGGCTAGCATTGAAATTGCGTTTGTTTCTACAAGGCGACATTCTAACAATTGTGGCAATATCCTTCGTTGGCATGCAGGGACACTAACTTGTTCACCTTCTAAACAACGTCAGTGTAGTTGCTAGATTGGCAAGTGCATCAACCATGCAATTATCTTTCCTTGGAACATGTTCGAGTACCACCCCCTCAAATTTTTCAATGAGATAAGTTGCATACTAGAAATATGGGACTAAGTTGTCTTTCTTGACTTCATAATCCCCCTAGAGCTAATTAATTATTAACTTAGAATCCCTATAGACATGTAGGTCAACAATTTTTAGCTCTATTGCCATTTGTAAACCAATGATTAAGGCTTGGTACTCAGCAACATTGTTTGAGCAATTTTTGCCAAGAATAAATGAGTAAGGCAAAATGTGCCTATGTGGTGAAACAAAAATGACACCTGATCCTACCCCTTTCTTCCTTGCAGCCCCATCAAAGAACATCATCCAAGGTTGTAGGACTTCTACGAAAAATACATTTTCATTAGGGAATTCCTCAAAAATTTCCCAATCAGCAGGGATGGAATGGTTGGCCAAGAAGTCTACAAGGGCTTGCCCTTTCACCGTTTTTCTTAGCACGTAAATTATCTCAAATTCATTAAAGAGGAGAGACCATCTTGCTAAGCATCCTGAGAGGATGGGCTTAGACATAACATATTTTATTGGGTCGACTCTTATAATGAGATGCATTGTATGGGCTTGGAAATAATGTCTCAATTTTTGAGAAGCAAAAACAAGTGCCAAACACGTCTTCTCAATAGGTGAGTACTTGAGTTCGTTTTTAGTTAATTTGTGGCTCAAGTAATAGAGTGCTTGCTCTTTATTTTCTTTGTTATTTTGGGCCAGCATCGCTCCAAGAGACTCTTCTTGAGCAGCAATGTAAAGTATCAATGGTTTCCCTTGAATAGGAGCTCCTAATACTAGTGGATGAAGCAGGTATTTCTTAATACTATCGAAAGCATTTTGATATGCTTGATCCCAAACAAATGGAGCCTCCTTTTTCATCGGTTGACTAAAAGGTTGACAACGACCTACCAAGTTTGAAATGAATCTGCAGATATATGCCAAGTGACCTTAGAGGCTTCTAAGTTCCTTTAGATTTTTTGGTGGTGGCATCTTTTGTATAACATCGATTTTGGATTGATCAACCTTAATGCCTCTATGTCGAACAATAAAGCCAAGGAACTTTCCAGACGTGACTCTAAATGCGCATTTAAGTGGATTCATCTTCAAGTCATACTTTCTTAGCCAGTTGAAGACTGCATGAAGATCCTCTAGGTGATCTTCTATTTTATTAGTTTTGACCACCAAATCATCAACATAGCACTCACCAAATTTATGGAGCATGTCATCGAAGATCTGTTTCATGGCACGTTGATAGGTGGCACCGATATTCTTGACTCCGAAAGGCACTACTTTATAACAATAGATGCCTTTTGCGCTACGAAATGCAGTTAACTCTTCATCCTCAGGTGCCATCAGTATTTGGTTGTATTTTGAACACCCATCCATGAAGGACAACACCTCATGTCCGGTAGTGGCATTTATCATTAATTCCATAATAGGAAGCAAAAAGTCATCCTTGGGACATGCTTCGTTCAAATTTTGAAAGTCGACGCATATTCTAATTTGTCAATTCTTCTTGACTATCGGGACCATGCTTGATATTCATGTTGAATATTTTACTTCACGTATGAACCCAGCTTCGATCAACTTGTTGACTTCTTCTTCCATTTTGAGGATGTGCCCAGGTCTAATGAATCAATGAGCCTGTTTTACTGGTTGCATACCATCTTTGATCCCAAGGTGATGGACAACAACTTTTGGACTTAAACCGGGCATCTCCTTGTATGTCCATGCGAAGACATCTTTATATTCGAGAAGTAGTTCGAAAAATGTCTTTTCTTCCTCAGGCGCTAAAAGTGTTTCCACAAAGATTGGTCGAGGTTCATCAGGAGTTCCCAAGTTGAGTTCTTTCAAATTGTCAACAGTTGATTACCCTCTATCTTCAAGTTCTGGAGGAGTTTCTTGGAGATCATTCTCCTCTGAATCTGAGCTAGAATCTTCTTCAACTGTTACATGGTAAGAAGCAACATGTTCAATTTCTTCTCTTTTACTTTCTGCTTGAGTCTTAATTTGTCCAGTTAGTATGATGGCGCCTGGATATAGTGGTTCAAGTATGTGTCAAAGTCTCAACGGAAAAAGGGACACTCACCATTTAAAGAAGTCACGACGTCCGCAAAAGTCAAAGGAGGCTTTGCACACTTCACAATAAAAGAAGATCTGCAGATATTAAAAGCAGATGCAACAATACCAATTCCAGAGGTGGGATTGTCAAGCCTAATTAAACCTCCACTAAAGGTATTTGTTAGGCCTGCGGGCGTAATTCAATGGCTATAAAAGCTTGTTGTTGAACTAGACAAATTGATGAATTTCTTCAAGTCTTCGAATGGAGAAACCTAGAGAAGAAAGGCTTGATCGAGGGCTTGAATGGCTTGATCTTCAACGAGTCTTAAAATGATCTCTTTGAAAAGAGAGACCAAATTTGTATTTGTAACTTGAAAGGATTGACACAAGTTTGGAGTGCTTGATAATCCTTTCTTTTAAGTTTGAGGAACTTTAGAGAGAATTTTAATATTTATTTCACAAATTAAGTGTTTGCTAGAGCAATTATTTTATAATGAAGTGTTTGATTTTGAGCTACATTTTGTTCAAAAAAGTAAAATAAAATAAACAATAAAATAAATCATGGTAACCATGATAAACTCTGGATCTCGCCTTGTTCAACTTTCAAGAGTTGCTCTAACTTGTTGGCGACTTCGATATCCTCGCTTCTTATCACCTTAGCTGCTTCTATTGTAGCTTGTTCTTCCCTTTAAGTGGAAGCAATGGCTCACCTTTGAACTACTTTAGCTTCAACAACACTAATTGTAGTCTCTAGTTGTTGTGATTGTTCATCTAAATGTTTCAAAGCCTTTAACAATTCTGCTTTCTTTGCTGCAAGGCTATCCAAATCAGACTTCAGTAAGTGAACCTTCTCAATTCCTTTATTCTCAAGAGCTAGAGCATGAGTAACACGTTGATTGACATCTGCCAAATGCTGATCCTATAGCTCTGAAGTAATCCCTTGAGCAAACGCTGATTTCATAGAGATATACGTAGTAGCATTTTGTACGTACTTCTCAATCTGGCTTTACAATGGAGAATAGTCTATTTGAAGCTTTGAGAGCTCATCATAAAGCTCTTGGAGCTTTAGGCTCAATAACAAACTTTTTGAATAGGCGTTTTGCTCAATAAGCTTTTAATATGGTTATCAAGTATTGAAGTTGCTGAGCGACAAGCATTAAGGATCATGCTTCTTGTGTCAATGGTAGAAGCTGCAGAAGGTGTAACTTGGCTTGATATAGGAGCAGCAGGCAAGGAATGAGCATGGATAATAGGAGTTAGGTCAACTAAGAGACAACTCTTATGACCAATCACTAAATCAAAGGTTGACAGTCCATGAACTAATTCTTCATTATCTGAGAACTCATCAAGAAGTCTCATATCCTCATTGACAGACACTAAATCAAAGTCGCAATTTGGCAACTGTCAAAACAAACTAAAGAAGAGTCATAAAAAAATAAAAAATAAACAAAAAAATAAAAAATAAAAACATCAAAGACCAATCTACTTCAAACCTCACCTTTGATATTAGTAAGCAAGCATCAAACTAGAGTTTTGAAGTGGGGGCAATTTGTAGACACTTAAATTTTTACGTGTCTTGATCACTATTTGATTAATCAAGACAAATGAAATTTTCTTTATTAGTCAAAATTAAGATGGTCAAAATTTTCAAATAGATATGGGTTCTACTAAAATTATGGATCTTAATCCATTTTAAATTATGGGTCACACCAAAACAAAAGTGAGCCTATTTTGACAATTGGGCCAACCCAAAAGTGTGGGGCCCACGAAGATATTTTGTCAAAAAATTAGTGGAATACTTCAAATTTAAATTCAAAGATCAATGCAAATCATTTCCATAAAGTAATAAATAAATTGCTATTTTTCTTGGAAATTAGAGTCAATTTTGGAGTTTCCAAAATTAACCCTTCCCTCCTAAGTCTATACATAGAGGCTCTCATTATGGGGAAGAGGACAAATTCTTTTACCACCCACTCACTACCATTTTCCACCACCGTCTTCCGCCACCACCACCCACCATCATTTTCCACCACCACCACCCACCATCATTTTCCACCACCATCTTTCGCTGCCACCACTCGTGGAGGTCTCCATCTGCTACCACTTGCCATTTCTCACTCTTTTTTATATTTTTAAATTTTTTTAAACATTTTGTCTAAACCAAACACGTTTGTAGTTTATGTTTTCCTAAATATAAACAAAAAATAAACAAAAATTAGTTTATAAAATTTTTGTAAATATAAATTGAAAACGTAAACTTTACCAAACAGGCAAATTTTTACGTGTCTTGATCACTGTTTGATTAATCAAGACAAATGAAATTTTCTTTATTAGTCAAAATTAAGATGGTCAAAATTTTCAAATAGATATGGGTCCTACTAAAATTATGGATCTTAATCCATTTTAAATTATGGGTCACACCAAAACAAAAGTGAACCTATTTTGACAATTGGGCCAACCCAAAAGTGTGGGGTCCATGAAGATATTTTGTCAAAAAATTAGGGGAATAATTCAAATTTAAATTCAAAGATCAATGCAAATCATTTCCATAAAGTAATAAATAAATTGCTATTTTTCTTGGAAATTAGAGTCAATTTTGGAGTTTCCAAAATTAACCCTTCCCTCCTAAGTCTATACATAGAGGCTCTCATTATGGGGAAGAGGACAAATTCTTTATTTTTTGGGCAAATGGTCTTGCAAGCTCTTAAACAATCTCAAAACTCTATCAAATTCTCTTCTTAAAATTCTCTCCAAAGTTCCTCAAACTTAAAAGAAAGGATTATCAAGCACTCCAAACTTGTGCCAATCCTTTCAAATTACAAAAACAAATTTGGTCTCTTTTTTCAAAGAGATCATTTTAAGACTCGTTCGAGATCAAGTCATTCAAGCCATCAATCAAGCCTTTCTTCTCCAAGTTTCTCCATTCAAAGACTTGAAGAAATTCATCAACTTGTCTAGTTCAAAACGAGCTTTTATAACCGTTGAATTGCGTCTATTTCGGAGATCAAATCATAGGGTCCACTCTTTTGAAATAGAACAAACTACAGAGGATCATACCCATTTATTATAATCAAATAAAATTAATTATTTATGCATTTATTTTGTGTCTTAATTGCAGGATACAAAATTTATGTTGACAAATTTTGGCACGCCTAGTGGGACACAAGATTGTTGATCTGTAACTAACAAGAAGATAAAAATTCTTGTCCCTCATATTGTCGACCAACTCTTGGGCATTTGGCACCACTTCATCGTATATTGCACCCCTAATAGAAAGTCCACCAAGCTAACGCAAATCCTATAGCGAGATAGACATTTCGCCTATGAAAGTGTTAAGGATATTAGTGGATGGACACCAAAGCTCACAAAAGGCCCGTATAACACTATGTAGTCGGTCATACGACAACAATGAGGCATAAATTGCATCATAAATATTCGTCTGTTGTAGTGCCTCATGATGTTGGCCCAATATATCCTCCAAACACTCCCAATATCCTTTAGAAAAATAAGGCTCTACTACGGCTTTGAAAATAGTGCCCCATGCCACCTTCTGAGCTCGAACCACACTCCCAAGGATAAGAAATGAGCTAAGATCCTCAATTTCTTGATGGTTAGATGACTTTAACAATAAAACCCTAGAGTGTGATAAGCTTTCAACCAATTGACATGAAGTCTCACGTGCCCATTGCACCAAATGAAATGAACCATTGAGCGGCTTAAACTTCAAGCCCCGAGCACCAAGGAAAGGAGGGTGAATTGGAAGACTAGTTCTCTCCTCAATAGCATCACTAGAGTCCTCAAAAATGGTCAAGTATCCC